TGTTGTGAGTCATGCATGTTGTGAGTCATGCCATACCATGTGGATTTAGTAGCAGCTGCCAGTCACTTCCTTGGACCCCGGTATTTCCCGTTTTTATTCCCGCCGGACGCCATTGACGGTGGCGGTGTTTTACGACATATTCGCTGGTTCATTGGAAACAACCAAGTTGAAATATTCATTTTGCAGCAGCTACACAGCCAAAGTTAGGATTACCAAAGGTTATGTGGTAACTGTCAAGTGTTACAAGTGTTGAGGTTAGGGTAGTCGATTTGATCGGCACGGTTCAGGGCCGAAATTGGCGAGGTACAGTTGATTTGGACGTGCTCTTGCGGCGTGTTTGATGGAATGAGCTCACAACGCTTGTATGTTTGCCCCATCTTTTCCAACGACCTGCAAAATCTTGCATGCTACTGTGTCCTATAGTTGCTTCCGTCGATTTTGTGCTTGTGTCGAAATCACGGCTACCTCTCCTTTGAATCGAGTGGAGCCTTATGTAAGGCAATGAGAGGAGGCGCTCCAGAGGTGCACTTTGCACTGCTCTGCACATAGGTTGCGGGCTGAGACAGGATGATGTATCAGCGGGCTGAGTCAGGGGAAGGAGACGAGGCGTGGATTGCTCACGGACACAGGGGGAAGAGCCGCGGATAGGGATGAGGTGTTGCAAAGGGCAGTCAAGGGGGCGGAGTCGCGAGAGGGGGCAAGAAGGGGGGGCGAGTGAGGCATGGGCAGCGGGAATGGTGGCAGATAAGTGGAAGGCGAGAACAGCAAAGGACAGCAGCACAGGGAGATGGGGGAAAGGGTGGCAAGGCAGAGCGATGCAGCACTGTGTCCGCCCTAAGTGACCAAAAACGCTTTTGCCTTTAAGCGTATAGCGTTTATCCGCTTACGTATACACGCTGAGAAAACTGAAACGAGAATGAAACGACTAAGTGAAAGTTGGGTACAAATGCAAACCCTAGAAAGCTGTACCCCATATGTGCTACCCCACCATAGCATACAATAGCTATGTCATATAAATCTGACACACCCCCATAGGCAAAGTGGGGGAGTACAAGGGGTCATAAGACCAGTCAAGCAAAGCAAAGCAAAGCAAAGCAAGCTCAGGGTGGATCACAAAGTCACCACACAGTCCGAGCACAAGGTCAAGGCCACAAGGCATGTTCACATGCAGGAGTACACATATATATATAAATGGTTAGACAAGCAAGAGCAAGAGTAAATATATATGTGACAGGACAAGCAAGGTCAAGAAGTAAGCAAGTAAGGCAAGGCAGGCACAAGACCTAGCTGAGTACAGAAGCTCTGATGATCACAAGGCGCAAGTGCCTTGGTGAAGATATCAGCAGTGTTGGCCTCAGAGGCCACGTACGCAAGACGCAGCTGACCACGCTGCTGCAGCTTATGAGCAAGGAAGTAGCAAAGAGCAATGTGCTTCGTTCTGTGCTCCAGTCTCTGCTCTCGACACAAGGCCAGCATGGCCTTGTTGTCTACGTACAGCACTGGAGGAGAACGAGGCGGCTCTGCGAGGTCGGTAGGTGAGCCAGCGAAGCTCCTGTGCAGCCATGGCCCCGGCGTAGATCTCAGCCTCACAACTGGAGCCGAGAACAAAAGACGAGCGAGTAGCCCACCACGAAACAGAGCCAGAACCAAGGCTGAAGGTGGAGCCTTGTGACGACCGTTGCGTAGCCTGGTCGTCAGCCCAAGAAGCGTCTCCGTGCCCACTGAGAACCACTGGACTCTGCCCTCCAAGCACAAGCCCCATGCCGGACGTACTGCACAAGTAGCGCAACACCCTCTTCGCTGCGGCCATGTGTTCCGGTCTGTGTCTCCCAGGAGCAACATAGCGTGCAAGAATGCTAAGAGGGTATGCAAGGTCAGGTCGAGTGCAGGTCATCAGGTACATGAGGCAGCCCACAAGCTCTAGGTACGGGCCACTCGACTCTACGGACTCATCCGAAGGCAGAGCTGAGAGCGAGTGGCGAGTAGGCAGAGGAGTGGCTTGAGGCGAGGAGTACGTGAAGCCGAAGCGCTGAAGGACCTGCTGCACCATGTGTCACTGAGTCAGGTTAATGGTGCGGCGTGCTCTGTCCCGGGTGATCTGCAAGCCAAGGTAGCTGCGCATTTCACACAGGTCAGTGCACGTGTGTCTCTTCTGCAGCTCGGAATTCTCGTGGGCGAGTCCAGCAATATCAGCAGTGGCAAAGGCTAAGTCCTCGACGTACACGATGATGTAGAACGGCGGCAAAGAAGTGTCGGTGCGCAGAAACAGCGACGGGTCGACAGTAGAGGGAGAAAACCTAAGAGCCGCAAGCGTAGTCCTCAGTGTGTCGTGCCACTCACGCGGTGCCTGGCGGAGACCGTAGACTGGCCGCCGGAGGCTCCACTGGGAGCAAAGAGGAAAATTCCCTGTGAAGCCAGGTGGGCGGCGCAGCTAGATCTCCTCGTGCAGGCTACCGTGCAAGAAAGCAGTGCTGAAGTCAAGAGAGTGAAGCTCGTAGTTGCGCTGAGCGGCTATGTGCAGCAGCACCCAAAGAGTGGTCATCTTCGAGGTGGGAGAGAAGGTTTGAAAGTAGTCAACTCCCTACCGCTGACTGAAGCCACGAGCCACGTACCGCGCCTTGAAGAGATGTGGAGAGCCTGGCGGCCGCTTCACCCTGAAGATCCACATGCCACTGACGATGTTCGCCCCAAGTGGGGGAATTGCGTCAACGTAGGTGCCTGTGGACTTCCAGGAAGCCATCTCTGCGTCCATAGCTGCCTGCCACTGAGAAGAGTAGGGACCCTCTACCGCCTCTGCGTAAGAGCGCGGAGTCGGGATGTCAAGTGCATCCGGGTCTCCATCAGGGGTAAGCAGTACAGACACGAGATAAGGTGAAGATGCAGCCAGACATTGGAACTCCTCCTGTCTGTCCTCAAGGACGTCTGTGCCAAGGGCACACTCACCCCCGACGGACGGAGGACAGACGACGCAGACTCAGCAAGAAGACTAGCAGCGTAGTCTAGACGACAGCGAGCAGCAAAGTCGATGAGCGCAGCAGTGGAATCAAAGGAAGGGTCAGTAACCACAGTAGTAAGAAGACGCGTGATAGTAGGACTGGCAGCACGAAGAGAGTCTAACTCCGGGTCGGCAAGAGCAAGAAGAGAAGACTCAAGAGGAGAAGGCAAAGGGACAGTGGACGGACGCAGAGACATCCGGTGCGTGCCAGGGACAGGAGGAGGATGCTGACGCGAACCGCGATCACTAGTGCGACCAGCACGAACAGGCGACGCAGGACGAGACGCAGGCTTACGATGCTTAGCAAGACCTCCAGTAGGACCAGTGTAGGGAGAAGGAGCAGGCAGTGGGGAGGCAGGCGGTAACTGTGACTGTGACTGGACACGCTGTGGACACTCTAAGGGAGGAGGAGGAGGACCAAGAACCTGCTGAAGGAGCGGAACGAAGTACGGCCGAGGCCGCGCGGCGACTCCAGACACATCAGGGACAGCACCAGCACCCCCAGCGGCAAGACCAGCGCCAACAGCACCTCCAGCTGCAGGACCTCCAGCAGCACAACTAGCACCCCCAACAGGACCGCCTCTAGGACCGACAGCAGTATCTTTAGCGCCAACACCCTCAGCAGCTCATGCTCCAGTCGTACCCGCTGGTCCAGCAGCTCTAGTACTCCCACTACTAGCACCTCCAGGACCCGCGACACCAACACCCTCAGCAGGCGAAGAAGCTCCAGCTCCAGCAGTACCCTCCAGCGCCGGGCAAACCACTCGCGCTGCTCCTGTGGAGAGAGTGGCTCCCGCCGAGACGAAGTACCCGGAGAACCTCCAGGCCCAGCACTCCCGGACTCCACACGAGCAGGCCCAGTGCCCGCAGGCTCCACACCCCTAGGCTTAGCAGCTCTAGACGTGGCTCCCCCAGGCTCAGCACCTCCAGACATAGCACCCCCAGGCTCACTACCCCTAGGCGTAGCACCCCCAGGCACAGCACCCCCAGGCGCAGCACCCCCAATCTCAGCACCCCCAAGCTCAGCACCCCCAGTAGTAGCACCCGTAGGCCCAGCACCCCCAGGCGTAGCACCCACACGCTCAGCACCCCCAGAGTCAGCACCTCCACGCTCAGCACCCCTAGCAGCACCAGAGTCACCACTAACCTCGACAGGCTCAACTGCGTCTACCTGGGACACACCTGAAGGGGCAGGACCCTGAGGGGGGAGGGGGTCTACCGGGGGGGGGACCTGGCACAAGGAAGAGCGGCGGCGGGGGGAGGGACGGAGTGCAGTAGGGGAAGAGGCGGTAGTAGGGTACCGACTCGTCAAACGTGACGTCCAGGGAGGACAGAACATGATGAGAGGTGGGGTGGTAGAACTGCCACCCTCGCGCGTCAGGGGGGAAGCCAAGGAAGACGCAAGGAGCAGCACGAGGGGACAGCTTGTCCGCAGACAAGTCGCGGACAAACGCCCGAGATCCTCAGACACGGAAGGCAGACGCATCGCCAACCTTCCCCGTCCACAGCAAAGCTAGGGAGGTCTCCGGCATGGAGACCCTGGGGTGAAGGTTGATCTGATGCGCTGCGTACCGAACCGCAAACGGCCACAGAAAATGGGGGGCAGCCGCATGCATCATGGACGTACGAGCGACGTCCATGACCATGCCAATGCGGCGCTCAGCAATCCCATTTTTCTGTGGAGAGTCCGGAAGCGTAAAGGTATTCATGCACGACAGTAGGCTCTCAGAAGGTCAGAGGAGAACTCTCCGCCTCGCTCAGAGTGCAGACGTAGAACCGGAAAGTCCGAGCCGAAGCTCTTCCTGAGCTGGAGTCAAGCCACGCGGATCCAGTCGATCAACACCTCAGTGACCTCACCCTTGCTGCGCAAGGGGAAGACTGTGGTGTAGCGCGAGTAGTCGTCAACCACCAGCAGGAAGTAGCGCTCGTGACCCTGTCCACGGATGCGGGTCGGGCCCCACACGTCCATGTGAAGCGTTTGCAGCGGGGCCTCTGTCGGAGGAAACTAGGAGGAGTGAGGGGCAGCCCGCTGCCGCCCCTCGACACAGGGGACGCAGGTAGGGCCAGGCCCCGAAGAAGGGGGAGGGAGGGACCGGGGATGACTAGAGACAAGGACACGGGAGGCCATGCCTCAGAGACGAAGCAGGGAGGGGTGACCAAGGCAGTGGTGCCACAGAAAAGTCTCGTGAGAGAGGAGGCGACACGAGCAGGGGGCACACTCAGGACCAGATCTGGACGCTGCAGCAAATACCTGACCCGACGCAGCTACCTGACCGGACGCAGTGACAGGAGGAGACTCAATGGTCAGTGTGTACAGGCTCGACCTCGGTCGACGTGCAAACGTGGCCAGGTGTCGGCCTGTGCGAGCGTCCGTGCAGTGGGTCACCCGCTGACTCGCAGGAGTGAACTGGTGAATCCCCGCATCCAACAGGTCAGCACCACTCACCAAGTTCGTAGAGAACGAGAGGAGGTAAAGACCAGACAAGGTGCCAAAGGGGGCCGCCGGACACTGGAGGAAAGTGGAGAAGTGAGAAAGGAAAGGACCCCCAGAGGGGTCAGCTAGACAGACTGCAACTGGCCGACCAAGCGGCGTGAGTGTGGTGCGGTCTCGAAAGAAGGAGCGAGAAGCCCCTCAGTCAAGGGTGAAAGTGAGGGAGGCCGAAGCCGACGTGGTACTTGAGAGCGCAGACTCACCAAGACCTGAGGAAGCAGATGCACTGGCACCTAGAGCAGCAGCCTCGCTAGCACCTTGAGCAGCAGCCTCACCAATACCTAGAGCAGCAGTCTTAATGCCCGGGTCGGGCGGAAAACACCGGTAACAGTCACCCTCATCACTAATAGTCACAGCATACATGGCAGCAAGTATAGCATCAAAATCAAGGTCAAAGATAGCTACTCCCGCCCTAGACAGCTCATCCCAGCGGGGGATCTGAGTGGCCTCCGGGAACTGGTGACGCCAAGCGTCCGTGAGGCGGCCAAAGCAGCGCTGGGTGGGGTGGGCACCTCCACACTGCTCAGCCGCGCGGTCGCCGGTGCGTAGGACGTAGCTGCACGGACCAGTACCCCCACCCCGTTGACGTGCAGCGTACCACTCACGAAGCTGCTGAGGGGGGGGGGATGTCCCGAGTCCGCTCCTGCTGCTGCTGGTGCGGACCACCACCGGAGCCGCCCTGCTGCGTAGCGCCACCCTGACCAGCTCCACCTCCTCCGCCACCGCCTCCTCCACCGCCGCCACCTCCGCTACCTCCGCTCCCACCGCCACCGCCTCCGCCTCCTCTGCCTCCACTGCAGCCAACGACACCTCCACTCCCGCCACCACTCCCACCGCCACCCCCACTCCCTCCGCTGCCTCCACCGCCGCCTCGACCGCCCCCGCTAGCTCCTCCAGCGCCCCTGCCACCCTTGCCCTTGCCAGAGCGGCGTCTCCCACTAGGGGTAGACGCCGCACCGACCGACTCAAGACCAACGAGGTCGGCCGTTGAGCAGATGTGACAGAGGGCAAAAGGGGGGAGGGGGAACACCCCTTAAAGTTGGGGGTGCGAGGGTCACCACGAGAGGCTCCTACAACGACTATGCTCTTCTCTGCTGCTAGGAGGGCCTTCTCGAGGAGGTCAACGGTGAGAGTGGTGGGGCAAACTGAGAGAAAGTGGTCCCTGACTACGCGAAGAGAGTGGGAGCCGGGTGACTATGTAGTAGAGCGTGATGTACAGGGGGAGGGGGGTTCTTGGCGCAGAACTCAGCAGGAAGTGAAGCGCGGTAGCGAGTGTCACTATTGCGAAGGTGCGTAATGAGGTTAGCGACAGTGGGAAAGGCAGCAAGGTCAGGGAAGAGGTACGGTAGCATGAGGCGGCTGAGTGCAGTAGTGGCAGGGGAAGAGTAGCGTGCAACTACAGCGTCGTACAAGGTCTGAGCACTCTTGAACTGGCTAAAGTGCGCACGCTCAGAGGTAGGCAGGTGGCGACGCACTGCAAGACGTGTAGCAGCATAGCGTGTGGCCCACTATGAGCAAACTGTGGCGTCAGCATCAGCAGCAGGGGGAGGAGAGGCGACAGAGGTGAGGTCAAAGAGGGAGAGACCGTCCGCCCTATCGCACTGTAGGAAAAGCTGCAGGTCATCTATCCAGACGTCAAAGTCAATGGCCCGACCCTCAGCGTCAAAAGCGAGGACACTAAGGGTGGTCATGACTGCAGTAGTCTAGGAGCGCAAACCGTGGGGTAAGGGCCGTGCAGTGGTAGAGGTGCTGCTCTTACCAGACAAGGGCGGCTCGGGTGGCTCGGCGGCTTGGGCGGCTCGGACGGCAATTGCGGATCGGCGGCTCGGGCGGCAACCGCGGTTCGGCGGCTCGGGCGGCAACTTCGGCTTGGCATCTCGATGGCTCGGGCGGCTCGGGCAACTCGGGCGGTCCGGGCGGCTCGGGCGACTTGGCGGCTCGGGCGACGCGGCGGCTCGGGCGTCTCGGCGACTCGGGCGGTACGGGTAGGCGACGGGGCTGGGGCCGCAGGTAGGCGACGGGGCCGGGGCCGAGGCCGTAGTGAGGCGACGTAGCCGTAGGTAGGGGACGGGGCCGCAGGTAGGGGCCGGGGCCGCAGGTAGGCGACGGGGCCGGGGCCGCAAGTGGGCGACGGGGCCGGGGCCGCAGGTTGGCGACGGGGCCGTAGGGCCGCAGGTAGGCGACGGGGCCGTAGGGCCGCAGGTAGGCGACGGGGCCGTAGGGCCGCAGGTAGGCGACGGGGCCGGGGCCGCAGGTAGGCGACGGGGCCGTAGGGCCGCAGGGCGGCGGATCGGGGCCGGGAAAGGGCGGCGCGAGGGCCGCGGGGGGAGGCGACGGGGCCGTGAAGGGCGGCGCCGGGGTCGCTAGGGCGATGGATCAGGGCCGCGAGGGCGGCCCGACGCAGCCGCTAGGGCGGCGCGTCGGGATCGGAGAGGGGGAGCGCAACTCGGGCAGGGGCTGAGCGCGCTCCGGGTAGGAAAAAAAAAATCTTGACTTGGTGGGCCCTAGGAACAGTTCCCACGAGGGAACCTGCTCGATACCATGAGAAAACTGAAACGAGAATGAAATGACTAAGTGAAAGTTGGGTACAAATGCAAACCCTAGAAAGGTGTACCCCATATGTGCTACCCCACCATAGCCTACAATAGCTATGTCATATAAATCCGACACACGCAAAACGCTATACGCTAACGAATACGCAATACGCTCGGGGTTTTTTTTTGGGGCTGCCCAAAATCGAAAATTTTCGAGTATATCTAGAAAGTTCCGTCTTTTCACGGCGAAGAAGATGCCGTGCTCGAAATGCACGTCCGAGGTCTACCCTGGCCTGGACGTGCCTTCAATGTGTGGAGGTGAGTTTGTTTCCGTGCTTTCAATTCGCGGTGCCAAGATTGTGAGTTGGGTTACGTGGCACCAGTCTTTGGAGTCGCGATGTCCTTGACATTTCACATTGGGGTTCCACCCATTTCAATCGCTCTCGATCTACAACCTCCCTCCAATCCAACTTTGTTCCCACTAACAAATCCCACGCTACTTAACAAGTAGGTATAATTCTCTCTCGTCAATTCATCCTCCCGTCATTGTTCAGAGCTCCTTAGAATGGCTTTTGCAGTTGTTAACCCGACCCAGCCCACTCCCCCTCCTAATACCGGCACGGCCAGTCCTGATCGTGCGACGCGAGTTTACCTTCCAGATGTCGACCACAATGTGTTCAAGCATTTCTGCCGCATTAAGGTGGACGAGGGGAAATCGCAGCAGTACGTGTGCAGGTACTGCTACAATGTTTTTTTTTTCTGGTGCCGCCATCCGCTGCGCGCAGCACTTGGCGAGCTGGCGGAAGATGAAGCGCCGCGAAGTGGCGCTATGCAAGGAAGCCCCCCTGAAGCGCGGGCGGCCATGCGGAAGAGATACAAGGCTAAGGCTGCACCGGCGGCTTTGCGCCGCGAGGCGACATCGGATGCCATCGCATCGGTTACCAGCAGCGGCAAAAGGAGCCGCATTACAGACTACTTGGAGACGGATGCGGCAGCTGGGAAGCGCAAAGCACATGAGGCGTTGGCGCTCATGTTCGCGGGGTGTCGCATCCGTGAGCGCGTCGCGGATCACCCGCTCTACATCAACGCCGTTTGTGCCATTGGGGACGCCGGCACAGGATACGTCCCACCAAAGAAGGGGTTTATTGGCGGGGTGGGCTTGGGACTATGCTGCGACATCCTCAAAAGGGGACTTTCTGGAGTGAAGGCTAGCTGGAAGCGGACCGGCGTGACAATTTCTTCTGACATGATGACCGATAAGAACGGTCGCCCCCAGGCGAACTTGTTTCTTGTCAACGAGAGTGGCGCGGTGTTCAAGGACTGCGTGGACTGCCGCATGGAGAGCAAAACCGGCGGTTACGTCGCCAACATCCTCAAGCTCGTGGTGGAGGAGGTCGGTCTGGAGAACGTGGTGGCATTCTGCATGGACGGGGGTTCCAACTACGCGGTGGCGTGCAACCAACTGATCGCGGAATGGCCGCACATTCAACACGTGCCCTGTGGCACCCACGTATTGGACCTCTTTATGGAGGACATTGGCAAGATGCCGTGGGCCAAGAAGGTGGTGGAGCCTGCGTGCGATATCAGCTCCTTCGTCCGCAACCACCACTGGACGAGGGGATACTTGCGGAACCCGCAAATGGTGGGTGCAAGGATGCTGCAGGCACTAAAACCAGCGGGAACAAGATTTGGGACACAATACATTGTTGTGTCCCGTCTCTGTCAGCTGCGGTAGTCGCTTGCACAGATGGTGGTGTCTTATGTGTGGAAGGGCTGGGCAGTTGGGGACAGGAAGAAGCCGGCGGAGAAATTTGCAGCGCAAGTTCTTGATGACGCGTGGTGGAAGACGGCGGAGTTTTTCTGCAAGCTGATAAAGCTCCCGTTCATCGCAATGCGTAAGACCGATGCGAATGTGAAGAATGAGGAATGAATGATCTAGCAAGCAAGTGGGTACAAGTAGGAAAACCTAGAAATGTTGTACCCCATGTAGTCTACCCCACTACAAATTACACAGACTATAGCTAGGGATGAGCAAAATCCCGAACGCGAACCGAAAAGGTTTTTTTTTTTGGCTAAATTGTTCGGGCCGAACATGTTCGGTGTTCGGCCGAACATGTTCGACGTTCGCCTCCGAATTTCGGCTCTCCAAGACGAACACGAATATGTTCGGTGTTCGACTTGGGGGCCACGCGAACACCAAAAATGTTCGCGTCAAAATTGGCCGCGACCAGATTTAGGTCGCGGCCAATTTGTGTTTGAGCTCATTTCGTGAGCTCAAACTCAGAAGTCGTTTTCGCCTTAGCGCTCCCTTACACAGCCGCCCTAGACTCCTTGTTCTAGGTGCAAGCAAGTGCACTTTGAACACTTGTAGTAAACGGACATTAGATAGATAGATCTATGCATAGGGTTTAACGTAGTGTAGGGAGTTTAGGGTTACTATTAAGGTTCAGCGAGCATCTCCGCAAAGGGCTCAAGTAGGGCGAATCCTACGCCGTAGGATTCAGATCGGGCATTATGAACGTGCGGCACCATCCAACGCTACCGTTGCAGGAAGGGTGTTTTAGGGTTTAGGGTCGAGGGCGGATTTATGGCTTCCAGGGCTGGTGGATCCATAGGCCGAGGTGCAGGCAGGGCTCAGGGCAACGCACCGGGATCTCCACCACGACCTATGCAGGGCCGAGTAGGGGATGGACCGGGAGGAGCTGGCGTGATCTTCGTTGGGGGGTTGCGTACCGTACCGGCGCCGACCTCTCGTCGCTCTTTCCGTTACGACGGCCCTCGGCCCCCTCCTTCGGGGCAGACGCCGACACAGCCGGAGAGCGGCAGTGAGGAGGAGGATGAGGAGGAGGATGGTGAGGGCGAGAAGGAGGAGGACACTGAGGGGAGCGGGGATGACAATGAGGCGGCGTGGGACCCAGAGACGCATGGCGGTGGGGAGGGGGGAGATGATGATGATGAAGACCATGAGATGGATGGGTTGGAGCCTGAGGGGCGGGAGGAGGAGGTGGGAGAGGGTGGTGGAAGGGCGGCGACAAAGGCGGGATCACAGCATGTGCGTGAAGGGGGAGGGAGCGTGGGGGTTAAGGTGGGGGGGAGAAAGGCCGTCACCATTAGGGAGCCGAGGCAGAGGAAGAAAACGAAAAAGTTGAGGGAGCGGGCATATCCCTGCACGTTCACTGGGGAGCCCTTGGGCGAGGGTGTGATCGCTCCCGAGTTCCTAGACGAGGACGGAGGGCCTGAGAGTAGTAAGGGGACTGGCAAGGGTAATAGGAAGCCGGGGTGGCAAGTAATGATGTTCGGACCGTTAGGGGCAGACGATAAGCGTCAGTGCAAGATTTGCACAGAAAGGATTTCGTGAAAGCAATCCACAACAACCCCCGGCGAGCGGCACTTTGCGAGCTTCCACACTGCGCACATGCATGTGTGGCATCACCGTTACCACACCCCGTCCGTTCACTTGCCAGGGGAGACGTTTCCACGTGGGGGCTACAAGGGAGTGGCGGATGGCTACGTCTATCAGTGGCCACATGCCAAGACTTGGCTGCAGCTCGACAAGGGGAAAGGGATGGCGACTGGTGGAGGTGATGGGTCAGGCGGGATGGAGCGGTGGATGACAACCAAACTGACCTCGGTGCAGCTACGGCAGGTGATCACGAAGCTGGTGGTCACCTGCGACCTCCCCTTCCGCATCGTCGAGGCCGAGGCTGTAAGTGCCCCATCCCATCCCATGCATGATTTGGCAAGTATGTGGTTAGTGGACGGGTCTGTCCCTTTGTGTTTTGACTGTTTGCGTGTGGCCCAGTGCAGTGCTATATTATTTTCATCCCATCCCCCTGACGTTTACTCCCCTCTCCCGCCTTGTCTCTACCCCTCTCCAGTTTCGTGAGCTACTCATCCTGCTAAACCGCAACTGCGCGCAGAACTTCATCCCCTCGCGCTGGACGGTTTCCCGCGACACAGTGGTCTATGCGGCTGCCGCTCTTCAGTCAGCCATCGCGGAGATGCTGGCATAGGAGGGGGAGCTGGGGTGCAGGGTGTCGTTCACCATCGACATGTGGACGTCGCCCAACAACAGGGCATGGCTAGTGGTAACGGGTCACTGGATCAACGAGAATTACCAGCTGCGCACAATGGTGTTTGAATTCCGCGAGATTCACGGGCGTCACACGGGCAAGCAGATGGCGAGGGTGGTTGAGGAGACGGTGGTGCAGTGGGGGTTGGAGACGCGTTGTCTTGGGTTCACCTCAGACAACGCCTCCAGCAACACTCCCGCTTTCAGGTGGATGTCGGAGGAGGGTGGTGGCCAGTGCTTCTTCAACTCGCGCATGCACTTCCAATACAAAAGGGAGTGTGCGTGGGACGTGCGATGAGGGAGTCTGGGTGCGTCGTTCCTGTGATGTGAACATGTTGTGGTTGTAGTACAGGCGGGTGGGCCTATGCGACTTGAGAGTGGTAGTGTTTCTCGGATCTATGCCAATGTGTACTCACACTTCCCTTTCTCTTCGCCATGAATGTTTTGTGATGTGCGCAGATGCCTGGCACACGCGATCAACCTTGCAGTGAAGGCAACACTCGCTGTGACCGCCATCCGCGAGTTGCTGAAGATTCTGAGAGAGATGGCATCATGGATAGGCTTCTCGCTGCAGCGCTCGGGGAAGTTCTTGGGCCTTCAGCGGACTCTGAACGCGTAGGGCAACCCCGCCAAACCAAAGCCGGCATTGAAGCCGGTGCAGGACAGTCCCACGCGCCGGGGGTCGACCCACAACATGGTCGAGCGAGTCGGGGTTCTGCAGGAACCCATCTCTGTCTTCTTTGCCCAGACACAGGTGTGTGTGTGTGCCAGGTGTTGTGTATGCGGTTTTATGTGTTGGTATGTCGGTCGGGGTGTTTTCTTCTGGGACTTGCACCACTGTTGGCCATGCTTGACTAAACTTTTCGGACCTCCAACAACCTCAACCACCCCACTTTCCATCCTAACACCCGCCCACCCATACGTTCTACCCGACAGGGCGTGTCGAAGGCTGACAAGGCGAAGATGGACACATTGCGCCTGACGGACGCAGACTGGGAGACTCTGCATTTTGTCAAGACCTTCCTCAGCCCATTCGCCAAAGTCTCCAAGGCCGCAGAGGGAGCGGCGTACCCTACAGTGTCGATGGTCCTGCCGTACTACAACGGCCTGATCGACGCTATGGAGTCCCGCCTTGCCAAGGGGCCATCGGCTACGCTGAAGCCGATAATTGAGGCGGCGCTGGGTCTCTTGAAGAAGTATGAACTGATGTCAAGCAACGAGTTGTGGATCGCCACCTTCCTGGACCCTTCCATGAAGGCGGCGTGGTTCGACGACGCGCACTGGGAGACGCTACATCCCTATACAGAGCGGAGGGCGAGGCCTCGTCCCTCGTCAGGCGAGGTGATCCAGCTGGTTCGCGAACGCGTGGCCGAGTACCAGGCCTGGGCTGCAGCGATTGCCCCTCGGCCGACCCCACTTGCCCCAGTGACGGAGGAGGACGAGGGAGACGCGGCGGATGACGACGAAGACGCCGAGTTTCTCCCTAGTCGCCGACGCCTTGCGGCGCGTCTGTCGGCGAGCCAGGAGGCGGGGAGGGGTGGGATGGTGCAGGATGATGAGGTTGGCAGGTACTTATCTGAGAGGGTGCAGGGCGACGTGTCAGCGTTGGAGTATTGGCGCAGCGCCACCAACATGCAGACGCTGAGGCGCATGGCCCGGGATTATCTTGCCATCCGTGCCACGTCCGCGTCGAGCGAGCGCGTGTTCTCTCTCGGCCGCAACCTCATATCCTGGAAGCGGCACCGCCTAGTCTCTCAGAGGACGCAAGCTTCCATGATTCTCAGATCATGGTACACCTCACACCCTGGACAGAGGATAGGCGAGGGCCGCCGTGCAAAAGGCGAGGCACCACCAGAGTTCGCCATTGAAGGCGAGGGGGAGGAGGAGGACGACGAGTGGGAGGAGGAGGAGGGGGAGGAGGAGCAGGTGGGGGTGGGTGTTGGCGACACCTCTGATGCGGAGCATGCTGTTGTTGGTAGTAGCAGTGGTGTGCACCCGTAGGATTTAATTTGGCTGTGACTTTTATAAAGGGTAAACATGATGGTGTCATATGCTAGTATGCGTTGCATGAACACATATACACCCTCCATCCCCCTTTCTATCTTCCCAACCCTCCAGATTCCGTGTTTGACAGAAGTGACTAAAATGAAAGTGCCCACGGGGGAACTTGAACATGTTCGGTTCGAACATGTTCGAGTTCGCCCACACATACCAAATGTTTGCCCCCAAGGGCGAACGGCGAACACCTCCTGAACCCTGAGTTGTTCGCCGAACCGAATCGTGTTCGGTTCGGGAAATGTTGATGTTCGAGAGAACTCGAACCCAAACGTGTTCGAGTTCGCCCTTTGCTCATCCCTAACTAAAGCATATAAATTTGACACACCCCCATAGGCAAAGTGCGGGAGAAAAAGAGGTCACAAGACTAGTCAAGCAAAGCAAAGCAAGCTCAGGGTGGATCAAAATGTCACCACACAATCCGAGAACAAGAGCAAGGCCAAAAGGCCAGTTCACATGCAAGATCATATATAAAGGTAAACAACCAAGTGCAGGTATAGAAAGATCACAGTACAAGCAAGATCAAGAAGTGAGCAAGTGAGCTCAAGAAGGAACACGACCTAGCATCGTACAGAAGCGCAAATGATCACCAGGCGGAAGTGCCTTAGTAAAGATATCAGCAGTGATGGCCTCAGAGGCCACGTAAGCAAGGCGCAGCTGACCACGCTGCTGCAGCTCACGAGCACGGAAGTAGCAAAGAGCAATGTGCTTCGTTCTGTGCTCCAGTCTGTGCTCCCGACACAAGGCCAGCATGGCCTTGTTTTCTACGTACAGAACTGGAGGAGAACGAGGCGGCTCTCCTAGGTCAGTCAGCAGGTAGGTGAGCCAGCGTAGCTCCTATGCAGCCATGCCCCCCGCGTAGAACAGAAGACGAGTGGATAGACTGCCACGAAACAGAGCCGGAGCCAAGGCTGAAGGTGTAACCCTATGAAGACCGCTGCGTAGCCTGGTCGTCAGCCCAAGAACCGTCTGCGTGACATGTGAGGACCACTCGACGTCGCCCTCCAAGCCAAGGTAGCTGCGCAGTTCACCCAGGTCTGTGCACGTATGTCTCTTCTGCAGCTCGGACTTCACGTGGGCGAGTCCAGCAGTGTCAGCAGTGGCAAAGACCAAGTCGTCGACGTACACGAGGATGTAGAACGGCGGCAAAGAGGTGTCGGTGCGCAGAAACAGCGACGGATCGGCAGTAGAGGGAGCAAACCCAAGAGCCGCAAGCGTAGTCCTCAGTGTGTCGTGCCACTCACGGGGCGCCTGGCGGAGACCGTAGACTGGCCGCCGAAGGCTCCACTGGGTACCAGGAGGAAACGATCCAGTGAAGCCAGGAGGGCGCCGCAGCCAGATCTCCTCGTGCAGGCTGCCCTACAGGAAAGCTGTGCTGAAGTCAAGAGAGTGAAGCTCGTAGTCGCGCTGAGCGGCTATGTGCAGCAGCACCCGAAGAGTGGTCATCTTCGGGGTGGGAGAGAAGGTCTGAAAGTAGTCAACTCCCTGGCGCTGACTGAAACCACGAGCCACGTAACGCGCCTTGAAGACAGGCAGAGAACCCGGCGGCCGCTTCACCCTGAAAATCCACATGCCACTGACGATGTTCGCCCCAAGACGGGGAACCTCATCGACGTAGGTGCCTGTGGACTTCCAGGAAGCCATCTCTGCGTCCATGGCCGACTGCCAGTAAGAGGAGTAGGGACCCTCGATCGCCTTAGCGTACGATCGAGGAGTCGGGATGTCTGGTGCATGCGGCTCTCCATCTGGGGCAATCAGCGTGGACACGAGATGAGGCAAAGCAGCAGCAAAACACTGGAACTCCTCCTGCCTGTCCTCAAGGACGTTCGTGCTAAGAGCACACTCACCCCCGATGGACGGAGGACAGACAGACTCAGACTCAGCAAGAAGAGTCGCGGCGTAGTCTAGACGACAGCGAGCAGCGAAGTGGACAAGCTCACCAACTAGGGCCGACGCAGTAGTCGACTCAAAGGAAGGGTCAGTGAGAACAGTAGCCAGGAGACGCGTGATAGTAGGAGTGGCAGCACGAAGAGAGTCAGACTCCAGATAAGCAAGAAGAGGAAGAGAGGACTTTGGAGGTGACGGCAACGGGACACGTAGAGGAGCAGTGGAAGGACGCAGTGCCATCTGGTGTGTGCCTGGGACCGCAGGAGGACGCGGACGCGGAGCATGACCACTAGTGCAACCAGAACGAACGGGCGATGCAGGACGAGACTCAGGCTCACGACGCTCAGCAAGACCTACAGTAGGACCAGTGTAGGGAGAAGGAGCAGGCAGGGGGGAGGCGGGCTGTAACTGTGACCGCGACTTGACATGCTGTGGACCCTCTAAGGGAGGAGGAGGACCAGCAGAGGGCGGGAGACCAAGTACCTGCTCAAGGAGCGTAACGATGTACGGCCACGATCGCGAAGCCTCCAGAACCAGCAGGGACAACACCAGTACCCCCAGCCGCAGCACCACCGCCAGAAGTACCTCCAGCTCCAACAGCGCCAACCCCAGCACCCTCTGAAGCACCAGCGCCAGCAGCACCACCAGCGCCTACAGCACCACCAGCGCCAACACCCCCAGCAGCTCCAGCTCCAGCAGCTCCAGCTCCAACAGGACCGTCAGCTCTAGTAGCGCCAGCAGCTCCAACAGTACGTCCAACAAGACCAACTCCAGCAGCCACAGCACCGTTAGTATGAGCACCTCGAGGACCAGCAGCAACAGTAGCACCTCCAGCTCCAACAGCACGGCTCTAGCGCCGGGCAAACCACTCGCGCAGCTCCTGCGGAGAGAGTAGCTCCCGCCTCGACGAAGCACCGCGAGAGGACGCACGAGTAGACCCAGCAACCCCAGGCTTGCACCCCTAGGCTCAGCACCCCCAGGCTCAGCACTCCCTGGCTCAGCACCCCCAGACTCAGCACCCCCAGGCTCAGCACCCCCAGGCTTTGCACCCCTGGACTTAGCACCCCCAGGCTCAGCATCTCTAGCAGCACCAGATTCAACAGCTACCTCGAGAGGCTCAACTGCGTCTACGTGGGACACACCTGATGGGGCAGAACCCTGAGGGGAGAGGGGATCTACCAGAGGAGGACGTGGCGCAAGGAAGAGCGGCGGCCGGGGGAGGGGCGCAATGCGGTAGGGGAAGAGATAATAGTACGGCACCGACTCGTCAAAGGTGACGTCTTGAGAGGACAGAAGACGACGCGACGTGGGGTGGTAAAACTGCCACCCAGGCGCGTTAGGGGGAAAGCCAAGGAAGACGTAGGGAACAGCACAGGGGGACAGCTTGTCCGCAGACAAATCGCGGACAAACGCCCGAGATCCCCAGACCCGAAACGCAGACGCATCGCCAACCTTCCCCGTCCACCGCAAGGTGGGGGAGGTCTCTGGCTAGGAGACTCGGGGCTGAAGGTTGAGCTGATGCGCTGCGTACTGAACCGCAAACGGCCACTGAAAATGGGGAGCAGCCGCATGGATCATGGACGTACGAGCGACGTCCATGACCATGCCAATGCGGAGCTCAGCAATCCCATTTGGTTGTGGGGAGGCCGGAAGCGTGAAGGTCTGGCGGATGCCCTGTGCACGACAGAAGGCTCCCTGATGGGCAGAGGAAAACTCCCCGCCTCTGTTAGAGTGCAGACGCAGAACAGGAAGTTCGAGCCAAAACTCTCTCTGAGCTGGAGACGAGCTGCGCGGATCCAATCGATCAACACCTCAGTGACGTCACCCTTGCTGCGCAAGGGGAACACCGTGGTGTAACGCGATCAGTCTTCAACCACCAATAGGAAGTAACGCTTGTGACCCTGGCCACGGACGCGGGCGGGGCCCCGCACGTCCATGTGAAGAGTCTGTAGAAGAGCCTCTGTCGGAGGAAACTCGGAGGAGTGAGGGGCGGCGCGCTGCCGCCTCTCGACGTAGGGAACGCAGGTAGGGGCAGGCCTCGGAGGTAGGGAAGGGAGGGACCAAGGGAGATCAGAGACAAGGAAACGGGAGGCCATGCCTTGGAGACGAGGCAGGGAGGGGTGACCAAGGCGGTGGTGCTAAAGGAGAGTCTGGTGGGACAGGAGACGACACGAGCTGGGAGCAGACTCAGGATCAAACCTGGACGCTGCAGCAAACACCTGACTTGATGCAGCTACCTGACCACACTCTGCAACCGGAGGAGACTCAGTAGTCAGTGCGTACAGGTTCAACCTCGGTCGACGGGTGAACGTCGGCAAGTTTCTTTCCATCCGAGCACACGTACAGTGGGTCACCTGCTCACTCGCAGGAGTGAACTGGTCAACCCCCGTATCTTGTGGATCAGCACCACTCACCAAGTTTGTAGAGAACGAGGGGAGGCAGAGACCTCATAGGGTGCCAGAGGGGGCTGCCGGACACGGTAAGACAGTGGAGAAGCTAGCAAGGAGAGGACCCCCAGAGGGGTCCGAAAGGGAGACCGTAACCTGCCGATTAAGCTGCGTGAGCGTGGTGCAGTCTCGAAAGAAGGAGCGGGAAGCATCCGAGTCAAGAGTGGTGTGTAAGGCCTGAGCCGACGTGGTACCAGAGAGAGCAGACTCACCAACACCTGGGCCAGCAAACGCACTAGCACCTAGAGCAGCAGTCTCACCAGCACCTAGAGCAGCAGCCTCAATGCCCGGGTCAGGCGGAACATACAGGTAATAGTCACCCGCATCACTATTAGACACAGCATACATGGTAGCAAGAATAGCATCATAATCAAGAATAAAGATAGCAACCCCCACCCTAGACATCCCTCCCCAGTGAGGGATCTCAGTGGCGTCAGGAAACTAGAGACGCCACGCGTCCGATTGGCGGTTGAAGCAGCGCTGGGTGGAGTGCGGGCCCCCGCACTGCTCACTCGCGCGGTTGCCGGTACGGAGGACGTAGGTGCAGGGACAAGTACCCCCACCTCGCTGACGCGCAAAGAACCACTCACGAAACTGCTGAGGGGATGGGGTCTCACGAGCGCGCCGCTGCTTAACGCGGACCACCACCGGAACCACTCCTCTGCGTAGAGCCGCGACCAGCTCCACCGCTGCCGCCGCCACCTCCGCCACCTCCGCCGCCCCCGCCACCTCCGCTGCCTCCGCTACCTACGCCACCGCCGCCGCCTCCTCCGCCTCCACTGCTGCCACTGACACCTCCACCCCCGCCACCATTCCCACCACCACCCCCACCCCCTCCACTGCCTCCACCACCACCTCCATCGCCCCCGCCAGCCCCTCCAGTGCCCTTGCCCCCCTTGCCCTTGCCGCTAGGGGCAGATGCAGCGCCGACCGACTCGAAACCAACGAGGCCGGTCGCAGCTGCAGAAGAAACAGAGGGCAAGAGGGGGGAAGGGGAACACCCCTCAAAGATGGGGGTGCGAGGGTCACCACGAGAGGCTCCTACAGCGACTATGCTCTTCTCTGCTGCTAGGAGGTGCTCCTTGAGGAGGTCAACGGTGAGTGTGGTGGGGAAAACTGAGAGGAAGTGGTTCCTGACTAAGCGAAGGGAGTCATGGCGCCGGGTGACTATGTAGTAGAGGGTGATGTACGTGGGGGGGGGGGTTCTTGGCACAGAACTCAGCAGGAAGCGCAGCGCGGTAGCGGGTGTCACTAGTGCAAAGGTGAGTGATGAGGTCAGCGACTGTGGGAAAGGCAGCAAGGTCAGAGAACAGGTACGGCAGCATGAGGCGGCTAAGAGCGTGCAAGTACAGCGTCGTACAAGGTCTTAGCACTCTTGTACTGACTAAAGTGCGCACGCTCAGTGGTCGGTAAGTGGCGACGCACAGCAAGACGTGGAGCAGCATCACTTGTGGCCCACTATGAGCGAACAGTGCTGTCAGTAGTAGTAGGCAGGGCAGGAGAGGCACCAGAGGTGAGATCAAACAGGGAGAGTCCGTCTGCCCTATCGCACTGTAGGAGGAGCTGGAGGTCATCGACCCAGACCTCAAAGTCGACATTACGACCCTCGACATCAAAGGTAAGGACACTGGGGGTAGCCATTACAACAGTGGTCTAGCAGGGAGTGATCTCACTTGTCCAAGTAAGTAGGGCCAGGGTGCGCCGGTAGGAACAGTAGCGGCTCGACGGCAGGGCGGCTCAGCGGCTCGGCGGCTCGGCTGCTGGGTGGCTCGGCGGTGTTGGTGCAACCCTACGGTTTGCACTCGGCTTGTTGTCCATGTGCGTGCATGTGTGTGTGTATGGAATGGTATGAGGGCATGGGATAATATATATTTCATGCTTATAATTGTGTGTGAATGTTGAGTCATGATGTCGAGTGTGTGTGTCGAGTCAATAGTGAGTTATCGCTAGACGTGTTTTACGCAATCGTTTGTGTCTCACGCGTGGTTTCTATTTTGTCGTGCGTGGTTTCTGTTTTGTCCTGTGTTGAACGTTTGGCATGTCGCACGTGTGTGCACAAGACCCATCAAGAACTCAAGGATGAGTTTGTGTTGAAGAGCCCGAGCCTTGGTGTCAAGCCTAGAGTGATTTCGAAGCTCGCCAAAAGGGTGCACCTCAAGATATTGAAGATAGTTACATTACTTTGTGTAGTGTAACATTTCACTTGGTGTAGGCCCTAGTGAAGGGTAGTTTCGAGACCCTTCGTGGTTGGGGACAGTGTGGCACTGTTCCACATCACTGTACCTCGGCTCTTGGGGTGTGTAGGAGCTTGAGATTCTTCCTAAGACTATGTTGCTCCCATAGTGCTGTTCGTTCAAACCAACGCTGTGTCGTCAGTTCTAAATGAAAGCGTGCGATTTAAATTGCCTATTGTAGGCGACGTTAAGGCGCTCGAGATCCAAGTTGAATGAAGTCTTTTGGAGTTGTGAGAAAATTGCTATGAACGTTTGAAGCCGCTGTGCAGAAATCTGACTCTGCACTCTATCTTTCGTTTTAGGCACATTGGAGCCTACTGTGACTATAACAGGCGGCTCGGATGTCGAGCGGCTCGGCTGCTGGGCGGCTGTGCGGCTTGGCAGCTTGGTGGCTCAGCTGCTCAGCTGCTGGGCGGCTCAGCGGTGAAGGGGCCGGTAGAGGCAGCGACGGGGCCGCTAAGGGGTGGTGACGGGGCCGTATGTATGACATTATGTTGTAGTTGACCGAGGATGTGGGGACAGTGGTGGAGGAGGATGAGGAGCAGCTCTCCTACTCCAACAAGGTGCAGATCCGCTGCCTGCTGAGGGACAGGTGGGACGGCAGCCTCGCCTGCCCCATGCACGTTGCGGGGCGGATTCTCAATTCGGCGAACCAGGATGAGGACACCTTCAGCTCAGACGCGGATTGCACACACGAACTCAAAGCCTTCATCACTCAGCACGCCGAGCACCTTTGCAATCACGGGAAGGATATGAAGGGATGTTTTGGGATGGGGGATGCAATTGCTCAGAGGAACTTGGTCAAGGAGGGCAAGTATGACATGGTAAAGTGGTGGCAGTGGCACGGCACTGACGCACCAAAGCTGGCGGCCCTCGCCATTAGGACTCTCTCTCAGCCCGTGTCAGCTTCACCATGTGAGAGGGGATGGTCAACCTTGGATGGGGTGTACATGGCCCGCCGGAACTGGCTTGGCTCTGCCAAGTGCCGGGATTTGGTTTTTGTTGCACACAACTGGAACGTTGTGCGCAACTGGCATTCCCGTGCAGATGTCATGCCGGGTGTGGTGCTCGGAAACATGCCGGAGCCTCCCGTGCCCGAGGGCTACAATGTGGTGGAGGGGGACGAGGAGGAGGAGGAGGAGGAGGAGGGGGAAGATGACATTCTGGAGGATGAGTATAAGTAGGTGGCGTTATTGATGGAGTAGCGTGAGTATGTGTCATTGTAATGTTGGTGGTGAATAAGTTTGAGTCGGGAAAAAAAAACTGGGAAATCCAACCCCTGTGGAAACTGACCCTAGAAGTATATCAGGGGGGTCAAAATTTAGCTGCTCGAACGTTTTTTAAACCTGCCCGAAATAGCGTATCGAGGGTCTCGGGACCTATGCATATAGCGTATAAACGCGAGCATATATACGACACGTGTAAATACGCTAAACGCGTATATGGTCACTTAGTATCTGCCACGCAGTTCGGGCGTGGGGGAAAGGGTTTAAGGCAGAGAGGTGAACCCGGGCGTGGTTCAGCACAGCCAGCTGAAGGCGGAGGAGGGAGGAGGCAGAAGGAACAGAACATGTGCGTGCATTGCAGTGCATCAACATGAGTCATTCCATATCAATCATGCACCATTTTGCCAGTCATGCCATATCATCGCGTGAATATTGGTACTTGTTAAGTTGCTAGTTGTGAGAGTACGACGGCTTATGCTGGCTTTGCTAGCTTGCCTAGACTTTATTATGCTATTACTAGCTTGGGTTTCATTTATCATGCATAGATATGCCTGATTTCCTAGGTTAGGTGCATTCCTATATTATATTATAGTTATAGCACCGAACCAGGTTACGTGGACCGAACTCAAGCCTATTCGGTTTCCACCGAATTGCTTTCTACTGAGTTCGAGAAGGTACTGTTCGGGACGCTTCGCGACCCTCAGAATATTCGCGTAACACCTGGGTAACCCGCCTTGTGTCGAGACTATATAAAGCCTCGTGTTGTACCCAGGTGAATCATTCAATTACAATTCTCTTTTCTGAGCTCGATCCTAGATCCTCACACTTGGTAATTAGAGCCTGTTTAGACGCGAAATTTTTCGACCGCTAAAACCTAGCTTTTAATATCGCGAGGGCGACGACGGAAAGCGCCGATTTCAGGTACGTAAACCAGTTCCGCGCTATTTTCTAACGTCCCCCTTGAACCAGTTTTCACACACTCCTCAGGTCCAGTGGCGAAAAAGTTGGAATTTTGACCGTCGGATCGATTCGAATCTCAACGGCCCCGAGAATTTCACACAAAAACGTTGGAATTTGGAGCGTCGGATTGAATTTCTTCTCAACGACCAAGTTTGGACGCGAATTTCAACTACGCGAGAAATACGCTACCTACAGAATCAGCGCTCGTAACTTTTTACTATCCATTCGACTCACGGTAAGATGCCCACGAGCACGAGATCATGGAGGAACCAGGTGCGAAACCCATCTCACGTGCACCATACCGACTGGGTTTGATCGAACTGACAGACATGAAGAAACAGATAGAGTATCTACTCGACAGACAACTAATCCGCCAATCCACCTCTCCCTACGGTGCACCAGTCCTCTTCACTCCAAAACCAGACGGCAGTTTACGGATGTGCATCGACTACCGCGCACTGAACAAACAGACAGTAAAAAACAAATACCCAATACCGCGCATCGACGACCTTCTGGATCAACTGCGTAGTGCAACAGTCTTTTCGAAGCTAGACCTACGGTCGGGTTACTGGCAGATCAAGATGGCGGACAACTCGATCCACAAGACGACGTTCCGTACCACATACGGCTCCTACGAATACTTGGTGATGCCATTCAGACCCTGCAACGCACCAGCGACCTTCCAGGCGGAAATGAACCATATCTTATGACCCCTGCTTGACGAGTGCGTAGTGGTATACCTGGACGACATTCTAATCTACTCCAAGAATATGAAGGAGTACGTGGAGCATCTACGGAAGGTCTTCAAGATCATGCAGAAGAACAAGTTCTACGTGAAGTTGTCGAAGAGCGACTTCGCCCTGAAGAAGGTGCAGTTTCTCGGGCACATGGTGAGTGCCGAGAGCGTACACGTGGACCCGCGGAAAATCGAAGCCGTCAAGAAGTGGAAAGTACAGGAGAAGGTGAAGGAGTTGCAGCAATTCCTAGGCTTTGCCAACTACTACGACAGGTTTGTGCCGCAGTACGCAAAGATAGCAGCGCCGCTGACCGGCCTACTAAAAAAGGATACACCCTACAAATGGGATACTCCTCATCAGCAAGCCATGGAGAAGCTACAGACAGCACTGACTAGAGCACCAGTACTCATCCTACCGGACCGAAACAAGGACTACGTGGTGGAAGAAGACGCTAATGACCAAGCAGTCGGAGCAGTACTAATGCAGGATCACGGAGGCGGTTTGCAGCCCATCGCCTACATCAGTAAGAAGCTACACGGAGCAGAACTGAATTACCCCATCCATGACAAGGAAGCCTTAGCGATAGTCATAGCCTTCAAGGCGTGGGGTGTTACCTAGAGGGAGCCAAGACTACAGTATACACCGACCACTGCAGTCTCAAATACTTGAAGTCGGAGCCGACGCTCTCTCGACGACAGGTGCGGTGGGTGGACTTCCTAGAAACTCACTTCCACTACGGCATCATCTACAAGCCCGGGCTACACAACAAGGCAGACGCGTTGAGCCGGCCCGGACATGTAGCAGGCATCCAGCTCGACGGGATGAACCCTCTGCTCAAGGGTCTATTCCAACATGGGTACTCCGTGGACGCTGAAATTGCTACACCATAGACCAAGAAGTTGTTACAGTAGGAGAAAGACTTTGCTGTAAGGAAGGGTTCAGGAAAGTTTTGGGTACCGAATTACGCCTCGCTATGGCAGATCCTATTGGAAGAGCTTCACGACGTACCTTACGCGGGACATTTTGGGAGCAACAAGATGTTAGCAGGGATAGCGAAGTATTACTACTGGCCCGGGATGGCAGCAGACGTGCAGCAGTTCGTCACCTCTTGCGACACGTGCCAGCGGATGAAGAGTAGCAAGCAGAAAAAAGCAGGGTTACTTCAGCCTCTACCCGTACCGGACTTCATCACTGGACTTCCTTCGACCTCACGGGGACATGATTCCATCCTCGTCGTTATCGATAAGTTCTCCAAGATGGGTCACTTCATACCGACCAACGCCATAGCTACAGCTGAAGCGACTGCTCGCCTCTTCTTCGACCGCATCATCACCATCCACGGCATCCACGCTACACTTATCTCAAATAGAGACCCCAAATTCACAAGTAAGTTCTGGAAGGAGCTCATGGTGTGAGTGGTTCCCGTCCATAACACAGGAAGAAAGGAGTTTTCCCTGTGGCCGCATGTTATGCGTTGTTGTAAGCAAACTCCAGGGTCAGTAACTGTGCGTCCTAGCGACTGACGTTGTCCTTGCAAGCTGTGCGCAGTAACTGTTCAACCACTTGATTGAGTCGCTCTGTCTGTCCATCAGTCTGTGGGTGGTATGCTGAGGACATCGCAAGTTTGGTCCCCCACACCAGCACACGTCCAAGCCGCACATGATTTCGTCACCACCATACAGCAGCTATGGGAGAAGACTCAGCGACGTCTCACCACAATGAAGAACTCCCAGAAGCAGTATGCCGATCGTCACCGACGAGATCACTCAGTAGCAGTCGGAGATCAGGTACTTCTTGACACGCGCAACTTGAATCTGTCTCACCTCCCATCCAAACTCCGGCCTCGCTTTTGTGGTCCTTTTCTCGTTGAGGCATAGGTGACACCAGTTACATTCCGCTTGCGCTTACCAGATACATGGAAGCTTCACAATGCTTTCTATGTCCAGCTACTGCAGCCCTACAAGGACCCCAACCAACAGCTCCAGGGACGGCAGCTACCGCCACCACCACCTGTTATTGTACAAGATGAGCTAGAGTATGAAGTGGAACGCGTTCTCACTCATCGGCGCCGCGGGGTCAAGGCCTTCGAGTTCTTGATACGCTGGAAGGGATACGACCCCACCGAGGACAGTTGGGTTGCAAAAGCTGATATGGGCAATGCACGCCGTGCTCTCAAGGACTATCTTGTCAAGCAGGGTGTTTCACACGGCACCCAGCTTTGAGGGGGGGACGTGTGATAGTACGACGGCTTATGCTGGCTTTGCTAGCTTGCCTAGACTTTATTATGCTATTATTAGCTTGGGTTTCATTTATCATGCATAGATATGCTTGATTTCCTAGGTTAGGTGCATTCCTATATTTTATTATAGTTATAGCACCGAACCAGGTTACGTGGACCGAACTCAAGCCTATTCGGTTTCCACCGAATTGCTTTCTACTGAGCTCGAGAAGGTTCTGTTCGGGACGCTTCGTGACCCTCAGAACATTCTCGTATTACTGGGTAACCGGCCTTGTGTCGAGACTACATATAGCCTCGTGTTGTACCCAGCTGAACCATTCAATTACAATTTTCTTTTCTGAGCTTGATCCTCGATCCTCACACTAGTGGTCACGTGCTTGTACACGCGTACTTCGCGTTTACGCCGTGCAGCATCGGTGGTGATTCACAGCCTATTTGTTGGTTCACTGGAAACAGCCGAGCTGAGAAATTCCTTTCGCAGCGAGCCAGACAATGTTAGCCAGGATATGGGTCAACTATCGGGTGTTACAAGAAATCACAGTGATATAAGGTTTTGGGTAGTCAGATTGATCTGCACAGTTCGGGGTCGAAATTGGCGAGGCACAGACGTGCGCTAGCAGTCAGGTACATATTTTCCAGTTGCGATGAGCCGCAGAATTAACTCATAGCCCCAAGTTACCAAGGATCCCCATTGAACCTTCTGAATTCGGCATGCTACTGTGTCCAATAGTCGCTTCTGTCAATTATTGTGCCTGTGTCAATTTCATGGATAGCCTTACTCTGGAAAAGCAGTGTTTCTGTAAGGTGCTGGGAGAGGCAATCTATGAAAGAAATTTGCACTGCAGTACAGGACAAATAGGACGTGAGCACACCGGGTCATGGCACTGTTTGGGTCATCCGAGATTCTTGGACGACCAATAATGCACAATTTAGCTACACTACTGGAATATCACTGGTCCTCTCATGACCCAAAGTGTAAAATGATGACCCAAACCAAAGATACGCCCTGAGACCGATTGCTGTATCACCTGGTACCGTCAACCCACATCATTACATGGTGTTGCATACGGCACAGAAGCTTCTTCGCTACCTCTAGCTGTCCCTTGCCTCTTCGTCACCCACTTTTCCTGCTAAGCTCTTAAGAGTCCAAAACCGGCTCATTTTACCTCCCTTCCCGTGACTATGTCCCCCCTTTTCCCCCCTCCCCCTCCCCCTTCCCCCGCACTTTTCCCCGACCATACCCCATGCAGTCTACTCCAGCACGAGTTGTCTCATAGGTTCCCAACCAAGAAGCGATAGCAGCAACAGCAGCAGAATGCATAGGAAATGGCAAGAATGCAGTGGGCAAAAGGGGGAGGGGCGGGAGGAGGTCCGGGGGGGAGCAGCGCCCTCACCACCCCATGGGCGGCAATCATCCTCTGTTTTCCCCCAAGGTGGAAGCAGGGGGAGGGGGCGAGGGATGGGGGGCATATGAGAGGAGCATCTGGAGGTAAAATGCTACAAGGGGGAGGGGGGGGGGGCAGGGGGGGCATTATGAGCAGGAGGAGGGGTACAGAGGGGCTGGGGGAGGAGGGCATGGGAGTGGAAAAAGGAGGAGGCAGGGGCAAGCGCATGGGGGAGGAGGGGAGCATGGGGGTAGTGGAGGGGGGAGTGGAGGCGAAGGGGGTGCAAAGCAAATTGACCAGGGGGGCATGGGCGAGTGTGATGTGGCATGGGAGAGTGTGATGGGAAATGGGTGAGTGTGATGGGGAATGGGTGAGTGTGATGGGGATGGCCGAGTGGGATGGGGTATGGGAGAGTGTGATGGGGAATAGATAAGTATGATGGGGCATGGGTGAATGTGATGGGGCATGGGTGAATGTGATGGGGCATGGGTGAATGTGATAGGGCATGGGTGACAGTGATGTAAGAGGCGCATATTCATTATGTGAGTGCACTAAGCAGGGTTTGGGAGTGGGAATGGATTAGTCTGTTACTGCTCGCCCCTCCAATCCCTCTGCCCCATCCCCTCCTCATCCCCTCCTGTCCCTTCATCTCATCTGTTTTCCTTTCCCCATTCTTCCCATCACCCATCCCTCTACTCTCATCCCCTCCCCTTCACCCATCTTTTCCGCATTCCCTCATCCACTCCCGTCCCCCCATCCCTTCCCCGTCTCCCAAATCCTTCCTAGAGTGGAGGGCGACGCAACAGGCAGCAGCAGAGCGCTGCAATATCCACCAGGGGTGAGATGGTGGTGTGATGATGGTGCGATGGTGTTGTGATGTCATTGTGATGATTGTGTATGTCGCATTGTTGGGTGGCCTCTGATACTGCTGCATTGTGCATCGGACAGCAGACCACTGTGCAATCGATTCTGTGGCTTGCGATCATACATTAGGATTGATCATGCAGCATCAGACCACTACTGTATTCAACCACAGTAAGATATCGTTGTAACTGTGCATGTAGCACCAAAATTGTTCCCACCCGTGTCTGTCCTCGCTGCTCCCCCTCTTATCATCCTCTCTCCCTCTCCCCTCTCCCTCTGGCCTTTGCCTCTTTGCCCCTTCTCCCCCCTCCCTTCGTCCTGCCTCATTCACCCAGGCTGGGTATGCGGATGTGCAGTGCAACCTCTCATCCCTTACTTTGCTTCCCTCCTTTCCCTTCCTCCCTTCTCCCCCCTTCACTCCGCTACCCCACTCCCTCCCCACCCCCGCTCTTCCCACACCTCCCTCCATTCATCCAGAGGGGGTACGTGGATGTGGATGCGCCGTACAACCGCCCGTCATACGCCATGCCTCACCCCACCCCACCGCACCGCACCCACCGTACACCCATATAGTGTGAAGGGCCCATAGCAGTGAGGGTTGGTGGAAGGGGGAGTGCATGGTCATCACCACACCACCGGAGTTACAGGAGGGGAGATCACCGCGGGCATTACTCCCACTCGAAGTGGTGGCATTGCTATAGACGTGCATGAATCATGGCAAGTTTGGTGTGTACTGCAACCTGTTTCTCTTCTACAGTTGGTGCCCCAATATTCTACCTCCTCCAATCCATCTGGGACAAGTTCTGGTGGATATTCAGGCCGTTCTCTCTATCCACTCTGGAGTGGTTTTCCTGTTCGAAACATGTGCCCATGATTTGCAAGCTTATACAGTTCCCGTCCAACACAATATCACAGCAAAGCCTTCATTTATTTGATTTTACTTTCATGAAAGCACAGATGTTCCCCTCCTGCACTTGCTCTCCTGTACAGCTGCAAATGGGCTGTTGCATACCCCCCACTTCAGGGCACAAACCATCTTATCAGGGTCAGCTCAGCACTTCTTTATCGCAATCAAGTTCCCAAAAACACCATTCAGAGTAGTGCATGATGTGAGTGCAGCTTGCACAAGGGCCAGCGCCTGCGCAAGGAGATGATGAGGGGAACGAGTGTGAGTGTATAATGTCGTCAATCCCATGTCCAGATAGAACAATCAAATAGTTAGCTGGACCAGAACGATAAGCTCTCACATGATCCCTGGTGACCGTTGTCTCACAGCTCTGCAGGTCAGCCATGAATTTAATGTCCAGGCTGTTGAGCAGGCTGATGCTCCTGATGGTGGAGCTAGGGAAGAACTCCAAGTTGTCCGTAACCATGAATGTTACGGTATCTTTTACGAAACCTTCAGCAAGCTCTGCGTCGTCATTTTTAATCACCCGCGTTAGCGAAGTCTTCATTTGGCTGTTGCAGTCAGGGCAAGATCCACCAGGGGCGTTTCTAACCCTGTGGCACTGAGAACAGGTGAAGAGGTTCAGTGATTCATTTACTGTTTCTCCTTCCATGGCCTTCATTTTCTGGGTCATTGTGTGACCACATGAGCTGCATCTTGCACCTGAGATCAGAGACAGGCACAAATGTCCGGAAGTCTGACAAGTGAAGAGACCGCCCTTTTCTTGGCAGCCCAAAATTCGTAAATGATCCGGCCCTTCCACTTTCATGTAAGATTTATCCAGTGTGCTGATGCTGGAAAATATGTTGAAAACGCCAACGCGTCTTTGGATTGGCTGTTTAGAATCCAAGAGGAGCCTCACCACGCTGGCGGCTGGCATCCGAAGGATAGCCATGATAAGTTCGACGAAATCCTTCCCGGTCTCAAGGTATAAAACTTTCTTAGTTTCCTGAAAAACACGAAAGAATCGAGAGTTTGAGGGAGGAAGGAACGTTGGAGCAATAACTTGCGGCGGAAGGTGGCGACTTACCTTGCTAAAGAGAACCTGGACTTTCATCGCTGCGTGCTTTGCATCCGCCATTTGCGAAGGAGAGCTGATGGAGAATAGGAATCCGAAACGGCTTGCAAATGTGATATAGCTAACGAGCATCGTGAGTTTCTGTAATCCAGCTGATCTTCACCCCGCCTTCCATTGTGATTTCTCAAACCGCGAAAGCAGCCTCATCAATCTGCAACTCACAATTCGCGCGGAGTGGCATCCAGCCCTACGCAACAGCAGAGCGTCGTCGCCTTCTTAGATTGACATCCATAAACTGGAAGTGGCCTGGTTTTCCGCGGCAAGTCTTTCAAGCCATTTTGGGATGTCCCGAGATTTCGAGTCATGGTACCGTTTTCTCCTTGCTTGGAGTATGGACTTTTGAATGAGTTCGAAACGGTAATCAAGAATATCGTCAGCTTATAATGTGGTGCAGATGAGGTTCAAATTCATGCATGGTCTGGCGGTGGGGTCCTGTCGAACATACCGAAACAGGGCGTGTTTGCGATTGCGACGACTGCTTGTTTCGAAATGCTTGTGAAACCACAAAAGAAGGGCGGCACCAAAATATAGCGCCGAATTTCATCGCACTGGCTTGAGAAAGCAAAGCGTAGTCGTACACCTTGCAAACAAGTGCGTATCGTACTGCAAATATTTATTAAGTTCAATCAGATCGAAACTAAGCAAGCCTTGCTCGTCACCAACTTAGCTGCGCCCTGGATGCGCGCCCTAGTTTACCGTCCGCTCCTCTCCTCTGCTTCCAGTTCACACCGCTGTTGGGCGTCAGCTAGCGCCTCCCATTCTGCATTCAGCTCAGCCTTGTCTCCTAATAATCATGACATTTTATTTGTGGATGCTCACCTCAGATAAGTGTCGAATGTTCTCCGAACATTTTGCGAGTTTATATTGTATATCGAGCTGATCCCATCCATGGTTGTCGGTCGACCTTGAAATCTCCTCGCGCCTCGAATCCTAGTTTTAAAGGAGGCAAATGGCGGGTTCCATCTGTCGTACTCTCCCCCGTTGCCTCCTCGTCGCATGTTCCATCGCCTATCTGTGTCGCACGACCCAACTCCTTCTTCCACCGCACACCCCGCCCATGCGAGCCTCGGTCCCCGCATGTCGCTCATCTTCTTTCCGCGCGCTAAGCTCGCCACTGTCTTCCTACGCTCCGCCATGATGCTGCGAGCAGCGGCGGGTGTGCGCGAGTCCAGACGACTCTGCGGAAGCAGGCGGAGGCGGATGCTGGCTGAGGGGGAGGGGGCGGAAAGGCGGCTGTACAGAGTGGTCGTCGACATTTAAGAGTCTGCAGGAGATCGATGGACATGCGTGTATGTGCGACAAACTGTGGCTGTGCTAGGCAATCACTTTGCAACAGGCAATCGCTGTGCGACACGCGATTGTTGTGGCGATGGACAATAGCTATGCGTAGGGGGAAGGTCACATATAGCAAGCCTGGAAAGCTCACTGTATGTCCACTCCTTGAAGCGCGGCGACAAAGGGAACTGGCAAAGCACAGAGCGACCGGTTG